CTTAGAATTTAAGTAATTCTTATCAAATTTTTAATGAAAACTAAATTTTAAATTAATTTAATGAATTTAATAATGATTTTTCTAATGCATAGATATCTTCATTTAATTAATAACAATAAATAATTGGAATAAATAATAAAATCAAATAGTAAAATACATATTAATTATAATAATTATAATTATTATAAAAATAATAATAATAATAATAACAATAATAACAACAATAATAATAATAATAATAATAATAATAATAATAATAATAATAATAATTATATTAATAATAATATTAATAATAAAACTAATAACAATATTTAAAATAATATTAATAATAATAATAATAGTTTTAATAAAATGAAATATAACCAATTTAATTTTAATAATAGTAGTAAATTAATTAATCAAATTGCAATTAATAAAATATTTAATTATAAAATACATAATATATAAAATAAATATAATAAAATAATTTTTACAAAAATATTTATCATTAAATAATTAACAAATAAATAATTAGAAATAATATTATTTAAATATGTAATAATAATATATTAATCATGATAATAATTTTGGAATTCATGATGATTTTTTTAATTATGATTTCGATAAATTAAAGGAATATACTAATTATTTTCCACACAATAATTATACAATAGTCTGTAGAGAAAAAAAAATTCTTTACAACCGTTAATAATTAATTAAAAGAAAAGGAAATTCTGTTAGAAGCTTAATGAAAAGTATTAATACAAATTCAGTTAATGTGAATATATAAATATCTCCAAAATAATATAATTAGAGTTATGCAAATAATTCAAAAAGTTCAAAAAGAAGTTTTAAAAAATATAATGTTAATAAATTTTAATAAATTACTAAAAATATGATTAATACAAAAAATATTCTTTAAAGTAGTTTAAAAATACTAAAAACTCCAACTGCATCAAAAACATTTTAATAAAGCCTCAAAGTTATAAAAAGTTAAAATAATGATAATGAATAAGAAAATTAATTGAAAAATTTATAAGATTTAATTTCAGAAAACTAAAAAAAATAATAATAAGAAAATTATTAGATTTTATAAATTAATCCTTTTAATGATTAAATTAAAAATAATAATAATTAAAAAACACAAATTTAATAAAATGTTAATAAATAGGAATGAAAAATAATTAATATAATAAATATATTTTTTTTAAATGTAAATAAAATTAAAATAATATGTATAAAGTTTTTTTCAATTTTTAAATTATTTAATTAGATCATATATTATTATTATTATTATTATTTTAAATAATTATGTGATATATTAATAATATATATATTGTTGAGATAAAATATATATTATAATAATAAATAAATAATAGTTATTTAATATAATAAATATAAACTAATTTAAAATATTATTATTATTATAATTGAATAAAATTATAAATAATTTTATTTTATATAATGAAAATATTTTAATAATTATTAAGATGAAAAATAAAAAATTAATTTTTTATTTAAAATAAAAAAAAATGTAAAGATAATAGTATTATATACTTTATATTAATAATAAAAAATTATTACGTTAAAATTAAAAGAAAAAATAGGTATAAAAAATTTAATAAAAAAATAAATTATTTATAAAAAATTAAGAATAGTGAATTATATTTATATTAAAACAAAATAATATTTTATTAATTAATATTATTTATTTAAAAAAAAAACAAACTTTTTAAAAAAATATATTAATGATAAATAAATTTATAAATTAAAAAAAAAGATTTTTTTTTTAATATAAATTGTAATTATTATTATTATTATGATTATTATTATTATTATTTTATTATTATTATTTTTATTATAATAAAAAAAAAAAATAAAAAAAATTATTTTAATAATTTATGAATTATCATTTAAATATTTAATATATTATATTAAATATATTATAAAAAATATATTATATTAAATATATTTTTATATATATATATATATATATATATATTTTATTTATATATAAATCTATATTTTATATTATATTTTTTTTATAATAATTTATTTTAATACACACTATTCTTTTATTTTTTTGTTTTATTAAAAATATCAAATTAAATAAATTGGTTATACAAAATTACATGGAAAATATCCACTTATATTTTTACATACTCCTATCCACCATCCATTATCAAATTTTTTTATAAGTTAAATTTTATCCCCTTTTTAAAATGATAGATCATTTTCCTTTTTTTATATAAATTAATAATAAATCTATAAAAATACTTTTTATGCCAAAAAATCATATTTAGCAATATACAAATCAACTTCATCTTTTTCCTATAATAAGCAATCCTCACGAAAATTTATTTCTTTTTATTAAATCTATTTTTCATCTGCTTCTGTTTTTACTTTTCTCATATCATCATAGCTAATATTTGGATGATTTTTTTCTTTTTGAAATTATCCTAAATTGTTATTTTTAATATTGCAATTATTATTTTTTATTTTATTTTTAATATATCTATTAGAAAAACCTTAACTTCTTTTTGAATTTTCTATAGAACTATTAAAATAAGGCGATAGTTTGCTTATTTCTATTTCTTTATCTATACTACAGTTTTATTATGAGTTATCTTTACTTATTTATTATATATTATGGATTTAATTTTATTTGTTTTAAATCTATTATTAAATTCTTATATCTAAATTTTCATTTAATTTTTAAATAATTTTTGTATTTTCAATATTTAAACTATTTTAATTAATATGAGTTTATAATAAAACATTATTTTAGTTTAAAAAGTTATCTATGTTTAGATTTTATTATTCATAATTTTTTCTTTGAAATAATGATCTTTAATATTTGATTTATTAAATAAGTTCTCCTTATCTATTTAAGTTAATTCAAATGATAATTATTATTATTTTTTTACATGGTTTTCATTTGTATTACTACTTAGGCTTATATTTCTCCCTTAATTAACTTAAAAATAAATATATATACATATAAATAAATATAATAAAATATATATATGTATTTATATATATATCTTAATATATGTATATTATTTTATAATAATTTATAAATATATTATATTTAAAAACATGAATTTGATATTCTTGTAGTATCTAAACTGAAATTTTTTTTTATTAGTTTTATTTTTATGTTGAAATCTAAAATTTAATATTAGGACTTATATATTAATCTATATTATTTTTTTATTTATTTTTTATTCTTTAATTTATTTTATTGCTGTTAACTCACTTCTTATTTTATTACCATACTATTTAAACTTATTTTTTTATTTTTTATTTTTTACTTCTTTTAATTCTGTCTCTATGTTCATTTATATAACTAAAGGATTCATCTTATCTATCAAGCTGCTTAATTTATTTTCTATTAAATTGCTAAAATAATTAATATAATCTATATTTAATATATTAATAATAATAAAAAATATATATATATACCTTCTTAATAAGAAGAATATTAATTGAATTAATATTTCATAATTAAAGCTATTTCAAAAATATCAAACATTATTTATCTATATTTTTTTTTTTAAAAAAAAAAATTTAATTATTTACTTAAGTTTTTCTTAATTTTGTTATTCTAATTTTTAAAGTTCTGAAATATTATTATTTAAAACTTAATTTTCTTATTAAAGCTCATTTATCATATTTTATAATTTTTTATTTTCCATTTTCATATTAATTTAAAAATCTTATTTTATAAAATATAAGAAAATTAATAAAAAAATTATATTACTTTATAAATAAAAATTTTGTTCTTTTAAAATATTTATATCATTATTATTTTAAAATTAATCATGAAGAATACTATCGATAATATTTTCCACAATTTTATTACTACTAATGGGTTTATTTTTAAATTCCATTGAATATTTTTATTGTTAAGCTAATAATTATTATTATTATTATTATTATTATTATTATTATTATTATTATTATTATTATTATTATTTTTAATAAATTTTTTATTTCTAACTTATTTCAAAATTATCTCTTTCATAGCTTTAATTTAATATGCTTAAATTAATTTTCTTTTTTTAAGATTATTTATGCTAATCATTTTATTATATCTAAAACATTTTTTATATATTTTTTTTTATAGGGGAAGGAGTATCATTAAAAGTATGAAGAGTTACACTTATATCTTGTTTTTACTTTTTTTTTTACAAAGCAATATTTTAAATACTTGAATTATGATGTACACTAGTTGATTAAATATGTTTTTTGCTTTATTTTAATTAAGTTTTTCGATCATACTCTGTTGATCTTCTAATATTTACTTATTAAATAGATTTTTTTTAAATAAAATTATTATTTATATATTTTATATTTGGTTTTTTAAATTGTTTTTGTTCCAATAATGATAAATATTATGAATTTGTTTAAGCAGGTTTATTTTAAGATATTTATTTTTTACTATTAGCTTGAGATATTATTAGTTATTGCATTTAATTTTTTATTAAAAATATTCCTTTAAATATTTATTTGTTTCAATTTTTTATGTGTTTTTAAATTATTTTTTAAATATTTTAATTTAAATTTGTTATTTTAAATAAATTTATATATTTATTATTTTTATTAATAATAATCAATAATTAAAATATATATTAAAAATTTAAACTATGCTTTATTATTTTATTTTATTAGATATATTCTTTTTTGATAATGTTTTAATATTTGATGATTTTTTAATTTAGCATATTAATATAAAATTAATTTTTAATAAAATTAAATTAATATTTTGAAAGAATTATTTATATTATTATAAAATTGTATCATTTTGTCAGTATTTTTCAAATATTAATATTTAAAAGAATATATTATATAATTAAAAAAATATACATAAAAAATTAAAAATTAATTATAAAATAAATATTTTATATTTTGAAAAAATCTTAATAATAAAAAACTATAATAATCACAATCTTAAAAAATAAAAAAAATGCTCTAATATAATCATTTCATTCCTACGCCTTAATTTAAAGAATTTGTAGAAAAATTTAAGCCTAAACAAAGGTCTTAATATTAACAAATTTTCATTTTAAAATCACCATTAGACATTCCAATAATTTAAAAGCCTAACATTTAAAACAATATATAATAAACAGAAAAATAAATTGATCGAAAATCAAATAGCAGTAATCATAATAATGAGAAAATATAAAATCAATAAATATAAATTAAATAGAAAAAAAATGAATAAAATATAGAAAATATATCTTAATAAAAATAAAAATTTAAAAGATATGAATAGAAATTATTAAAAAGTCAAAAAATTAATTATAAAAAAGATGATAGATACGAATTTGATGAAAAATTTAAAAAGCTTTATATAAAAAATAATAAAAAATAAAAATAGGAAAAAACTATAAAAAATAACAATAAAATTTAAAATAAATAGTTGATTAAAAATAAATAATTTCAATTTTCTGATTATTGGACAAAAGAAGATATTGAAAAAGCAATAACATAAAAAAAAGCTTACTAAGTTATAATATATATATATATATATATATATATATATATATTTATATATATATTTATATATATTTATATAGGGAACATTTATATCTAATGAAAAGAATAGTATATTAGCAAAAATAAGATGTGAAGATTTTAACAATTTGATTTATATAAATAGTTTAAGAGATTAAAATCGTGCCTTAAATAGCCAAAAAGTTGGATTTGTCATATATGAGGATTTAAAGAAACCAAAAGAAAAAAATGATTATAAAAATTTACATCTAAATAAAAATTTAAAAATAAAATAAAAAAATAATAACAATGAATGGGAAACTTAATCAGAATCAATAGAAGATAAAGAATAAATTGAAGATACCTAGTCTAAAAGACGACTAGTTGGTAAAGTTGTTTACATATTTAATGACTAAATAGTAGATTAAAACGTTTTTATAGGCACATTGTAATAATAAAGGGACGGTAAAATGCTATTTTTACCAAACAATAACCGATATCCTAGAATGATACCTATATTAGGTGATAATATAAAAAAATTCTAAGGCCAAATAAAAGATTTTTATGTAAAAGGAACTTTAAAAAATTGGGAAAGAAATCAATAAAATCCTACTATTTTATGCGAAGACATATTAGGTTCTATAGGTGACATAGAAATAGAATGCAGAGCACTTTTAGAAGAAAACCAAATAATAAGTGATGATTTTTCAATAAAAACGAAAGAATATTTAGATAAAAAAGTAAATGAATAAGAAGAAATAATACCAAAAGAAGAACGAAAAAAAAGATTAGATTTAACAAAAGAAATAATTTTTACAATAGATCCGGTTGATGCTAGAGATTTAGATGATGCTTTAAGTATTAAATTAATTGAAAAAAATAAAATAGTGGAAATAGGTGTACATATTGCTGATGTAAGTTTTTTTGTAAAAGAAGGTTCACCGGTTGATTTAGATGCTTAATTAAGAACTACATCTGTTTATTTAGTACATAGAGTAAGTCTATTATTATAATAATAAAATAAAATATATATATATATATGTATATATATATATATATATATATATATATATATATATATTTATTTGTAAGGTTATAACTATGTTACCAAGGATACTTTGCGATAATTTATGTAGTTTAAATTCTAATGCTGAAAGATTAGCTTTTTCAGTGTTTTTTTAAATGGATTTTTAAGGGAATCTAATTTAAGATTTTAAACCTATTTTTGTTAAAAGTATTATAAATTCATGTTCTAAGTTTTCTTATGACACAGTATAGAAGATAATTGATGGAGAAATTTAAAATTATTCGTAAATTATAATTTAATTATATATCAATAAATATATTATAAATAGATAATTACCAGAATAAAATAAAGTACGAGAAGGTATTAACGGAGATGAAATGTTTGAAAAAATACTTTTATTAAGTAAAATTGGTATGGAAAAAAGAAAAAGAAGAACTGAAAATGGCGTTTTAACAATCGAAAATAGCAAAAAGCGTTTTTGTTTGGATCCAAACACTCTATTTCCTTAATCTTATACAATAGAAGTACGTAAAGAAGCAAATTTTATTGTTGAGGAATTTATGCTTTTAGCAAATTAACTTGTAGGTAAAAAAATAGTTGAGAGTTGTGAAGAAATAAGTGTTTTGAGACGACATGAATATCCTCAGGAAAAAAAACAAGAGAGATTTAATGATACACTTGAAAAACTAAAATTATAAAAAATTTAATTTAAAAACTTAAATTAATTAATAAACTTCTTAAAAGAAATTTAATAAAATGAAAATATTTCTGAACAAAAGAAAATTTTTTTAAAAAAATAACTTTTCTTAATCCTAGAACCTGCGTAATATTTTATAGCTAATTTATTAGAAAAAGACTAATGGAAACATTTTGCTCTTAATTTTGATGTTTATACTCATTTTACATCTCCAATTAGAAGATATCCGGATCTTATTGTACATAGAGTACTTGAGTAAGTGCTTTTACATGAAAAAGAGGCTAAAAATTATGTCAATAGATAAAATATTGTTAATATTTTGTAAGATTGTAATATTAAAAAGTATAAAGCCAAAAAAGTTTCGGAAGGATGTTAAAAAGTATAATTTTTATTTTCTTTTTTTAATTTATTTGCATTTATTATTTTAGATTTTCCTTTGTCTTTATCTTAAAAAAAATCCTGTAAAAGTATAAGGAATGATAACTACATTTGGAATTCTTAATTTCAATATTTTTGTACCTGATTATGATCTTTAATATGTATTTTTTTTATTTATATATGTATCGAAATATTTATAAATTATTTAGACAATTCATTTTTAAGATTTAAAATGTATCAAATCAAAAAAAATTGAATATTTGGAAAATAAAGAAAAAATACTTACTTTTAGTTTTAAAACTGAAGAAATGAAAAAAGAATAAATAGTTGATTTAAAAGTATATTTAATTTAAAAAAATAAAAAATAAAAAATATAATAAAGGAATTTTAAACGATTTAAATTCAACTAACTTGTAATAATAGTTTTCCTATAGATTATAAAGTAAATATTTATATATAAGATTAAAATGAAATAGAATAATAATATTTAATAAGCTGAAAAAAAAAAATATGTTATAAGTTTTTTATTTATTTAATATAAAAATATTTAAGATCAATAATTATAATTAATAATAAAAAAATATAATTATAAAAGTAATTAAAATACAAATAAATATTATAAAATTTATAATATGTTTTAAAAGAAAATATTAAAAATTAAATAAAGTAATTAGATATAATATATATATATATATATATATATATATATATATTTTAATATTTTTAAATTTTTTTTTTAATAATATTTTTATAATTTACTATTCACATTTATTTAATAAATGAAATTTGCTATACACTTTTTACTTTTATTAATAATATATAATATTCAATTATTTAATTTTTTTAATAAATTAATAACTTTAATAATTTATAAGAGAAAAAAATACAAATCTTTAATCAATATAAAATAAATATATATATATAAAAAATGAAATCATATTACTAAGTAATATTCAATGGCTACATTAATAGCCAATAGTATATCGAATACGAAATTTTAATAAAAAACAATAAAGAAAATAAAGAAATAAAAACTAAAGCCAGATATTCAAAACTACTTAAACTTCATGAAAGTTTAAATACTAATACACTCTAATTAGGCAATTTATTTCCTTCTAAATAATTTTCTTTAATTTTTTTATAAAACAAAGATAAAATAGCTAAGGATAGAATATAGAAATTCAATTAATATTTTGAATTTTTACTTTAAGATTATAATTATAATTAAATAAATAATAATGAGGAATCTATGCTTTCCATATTTTTATAAAAAGGGGAAATTCAAGAGAATTTTTTGCCTTCTTTTTCTTTAAAAAACATAAATGAATTGAAAAAAATTGCAAATAAAAGTGCTTGGAAGAAACTTGAATAAAATAAAATTTATATTTTCCCTTTTTAAGAAAAAATTTTCCTTTTTAAAAAAGCTTCAATATCTAAAAATTCATAATCGTACTTTTATAATTTTTATTTATTAAAAATTATTTAAATCCATAAAAATTTATACTATTAAAATTTAGTAAAACCTGCTTAAATATTCATTTATAAAAAAGTTAATTGCTCATGTAATAAAAACGATGTTTCCCAAAATTAAAGCTTTAATTTAGGACAAGTAATCCCTTATTATCCTCTAAATTTACACGATGAAATTATTTCAAGAAGAAAAGCCTAAAAACCGTTCTCATATTCAGAAATTATCGATATTTTTGGACAAATAATACTAGCGTTAAATTATTTGCATTAAAATAATGTATTTCATGGAAATTTAAAACCCTAAAACATCTTATTAGAAATTAATAATGACACAAAAAGTAAATATAAATGTTATTTAGTGGATTATTATAATCCTTTATTATACGAGAAATTAAAAAGTATGTTCCAATTTCAATAATAATATAATACAAATAATTAAATTGCACTAGAACATTATATAAACTTAATATACAAGCCTAGAGATTATTTAGAAAATATAAAAAATATAATTACTTAAAACGCAAATCTATTTTTTTAAACTGAAAAGCTTGAATTTTTTAAAAAAGTGGACTTTTATTCACTTACAATAGTTTTTATTTAAATTGCAAATTTATTGATTTTCGAAAATAACGAAAATATACTTCGATTTGAAGAAAATTCTCTTTTTAAACAAAAATTCGTCGAAGATCAATGTAAGGAAATATCGAAAAATTATTAAGGAAAAAATAATTAATTTTCAGATATTATTTTATTGATTTTTTAAGAATCATTGAAAGAAGGAATCTCTTTTAATTCATAAAAAATAATCGATTTAATTTAGTTTGAATAGAAAAAATTAAAATTAAATATAAATTTAGATTATAATAACTATTAGGAATTTAAATTAATAGATAATAATAAATAAGCTTATTATAAATAAAATTATTTTGAATTTTGTTATTTTTGGAATTCTAAAGGACCTCATTCTATATATGAAAATTAGAATCAAGCTAAATTTTTAGCTGAAAATTAACTTTTTAAAAATTAAGATTTAATTAAAAATTTAAACTTTAAAAAAGGAAATTTTATAAATGTTTAAGAATTTCTTTATTTAAATTTTGAAGGAAATCTTATTGATGATTCATTTTTTGAATTTTTTAAACATTTTTTAGAAGAATTCGCTCATATATAGAAAATATATATAAATCTAAAGTATAATTAATTTATAACAGATAATTTTCTTTTGGCACTTTTATAAAGCTTGTGTTATATGTAAAAAATAAAAGAATTTGTTTTAGATATTTCTAAGTAAAAAGTATATTTATATATATATTTTAAAAAATGTTATTCTTTTAAAAAAGTTGTAATAATATATAAATTAATCACATCGAATTAATTACTTAAAATTTAAAAGATAATTAAAATTTAGAAAAGCTGAGCCTATATTTTTATAAGTAAAATATATTATAATTGTAAGAAAATATAATAAAAAATAATATTAAAAAAAGTTCAAAGGTTCCAAAAGACAGATTGAAGATATTATAAAACTATTTTGAAGAAATAAAAAATAAATTAATAAAATTTTAATATGATTTATGAAAAATTAATATAAAAAATATATAAATAAATATTAATTGTAAATATCCTATATTTAAAAAACATAAAAAAAATTAAATAAGAAAATATTTTTTTATTATTAATATAAAAAGGTTTTATAATATTGAAAATAAAAATTAATATAATATAATATTAAAATTTATTTTAAATTATTAATTTATAAATAATAGTAAAAATCTTTAATAAAAAATAATAATAATAATAATTATAATAATAATAATAATTATATTTATAAAAATTTTATTTTATAAAATAAATTATTTAAAATTTAAATTTACAAAAAAATTATTAAAATTTACAATTACTATTTAATAATACTTCTTATTTAAATGATTTAATAATATAAATATTTTATTAATTTAACTTTTTAAATTATAAATATACAATTTTAATTAATATTATCTAATTTTTTTATTTATTTTATGCTTAATTTTTAATTATTTTTTAAAATTTTTTAAATCTTTTTTTTTTTACTTAATTCATTTAATAAATTATATTATACTTAATTTTATTTAAATTTTTAATTAGATATAAATATTTAAATTTTAATATATTCTTAAATAAATTTTTCTAATTTAATTTTACTCTATATTTTATTTATGTTTTATTCTACCTCATTTTTTCAAATTAAAATATTATATGATGAATTATTCTGAATCTTTTAATTACTATTCATATAAATATCATACAAATCAGCAATTAAAATTTTATTTATGTTTTCGTTTTATCCAAATTAATTTTTAATTTTTACTGCCAAATCAAAAAATGCTTTTTTTTCTTAATTTTTATTCTATATATCTATTTTTTATTACTAAATAACCATAGTATTTTTTTTATTAAGTATATGACTACTATTATTACAACTAAATTAATTATCTTGAAGAATATGATTACCTTTTAAATCATTATTTTAAACAATTTATTTATTGGAATAAATATCAATAGAATTAACACTAAAAATTTATTATTTTAAATTAAAATTACTTAGACTTTAACTATAATTGCTATTATTATTTTATAAATAATGATTTGTATTTTTGATTATGTTTTCATTATTTTTCATTAACTAAATTTTATTTTTTGTAAATTCTTTTATTTTATCAGCTAGTATTAAAAAGACATATACATGATTTTTTTCTTTTTCATCTTTTTCTAATTATGATAATTTATTTATTAATAAATCTAAATCATGTAGATTTAGAACTATTTCATGTATATTTTTATTATTATTTATTATTAATTAACTACATTATTATATATATTCGATTGTTTTTTGTAATTTTTCGTTATTTTAAACATATTTTTATTCCATATAAATTTTTGCTTTTCGAAGTTTTTCGTTTAGTTTTTCTATTTAATGTAAATATTCTGAATTATTTTATACTTTTTGGTTATTTTATTGATTTTATTAACAAAATTTGCTATGTTAATCAACTTTATCGACATGTACGTAATCTTCACATACAATACAAAATATTAAATCTATTAAATTTTTTTTATTATTTTAACTTTTCTCCAAAAAACTATAAGACATACTTTTTTTATTTTATTTTCTTTAATTAATATTTTAATCTTATTTCCTTATTCGAATTTCTTCTTCAGGTTATTCTTTTTTTCTTTTATTTTCTACTTTTTTTTTCTTAGATTGTTCCTTTTTTCTTTTGTTTAATTTTGTACTATTTTCTTCACTATTATTACTATTGCTTTTTGAAACTTTTTTTTTGACTTTTTTTTCTAAACCTTCTAGATATTTTTTTATGTCTTCTTTTTTTTATTATCTTTAGCTATAATCATATCCTAATTAGATTGTGTTTTGGGTATAACTTTGGATATAATTACGCGGAGTTATAAAATTTTCGACTCTTTGGAGTATTTACCTAGCATAATTATTACCTTAGCAATTTTAACTGATATTTATTTAATAATTATTCATGTTTTAATATTATTATTATTAATAAAATAAACTACTTTATGGATTTTCTGTATTTATACTTTATGTGACTTTATTTTATTAGATATTTGTATTTTTTAAAATACTTTTAGTTATTTAAACTGGTTGGGACGTTTTTATTTAAATAATATCTTAAATAAACTGGGGTTTTGGAACTGATTATGGTTTATTTTAATATTTTAAAGAACCGTAATTTTTTTTGTTTGTATTAATTAAAGAAGTAGTATCTATTTGCATTTAAGAATTATAAAAACTCATTTATTTGTATCGAAAATAGTTTTAATTTTTTATTTTTTTTTAATTAATTTTTATTTAAAAAAAAATTAATTTAAATATATTATATTGTAATTTGTTGTTATTAGTTTTTATATTATTTTTAGATTTAGTTATTTTTATAAAGCATTGTTATTTATAATTATTTTTACTATTTATATTATATTTTAAAAGTATTTTAAATTTAGAGAAGAAATAAATAAATTTTACTGAAATAAAATCTTAATATTATATTTATTTATCTTTTTTATTATTTCTTATAATATATATCCTTTATAAATAAAAATAAAATAAACAAATAAAAAAAACTATATAAATTAAAAAAAGTTTAAAATGCAACAAATAAATATATTATAATAAATAAAATCACCCACTCCAATAATAGACCTAGATATAATTAGAAGAAATATCCGAAAAATGAAATAAAAATGTGAATATTAAAATATTCATTTACGCCCTCATTTTAAAACGTATAATAATAATAATATCTAGAAAATTTTAAAAATAATTAAAAAATAAGTCATTAATCTGCATAAATAGGTAATCTATTAAAATATGAAGGAATAACTAAAATAACGGTTTCAAATGTTTAAATGGCTTATTATTTTGCTAATAATGGTTGGGACAATATAACAATAGCTTTTCCTTTAAACTTAAGGGAATTCGAACAAATAAGATATTTACATAAACATATAATAGAGTTAAATATATTAATAGATTAAGAAGAAACTTCTGTTTTTTTAAAGGATTTTTTAAAAGAAGATAAAAATTAAAAGTTGGGAATATTTATAAAAATTGATGTTGGATATGGTAGATGTGGAATTGAACCTGAAAATTTAGATTTAATAAATTCATTAATATAGAATATTTAGGAGAATTAAAAAAATTTAGAATTTAAAGGTTTTTTAACTCATGCAGGTTAAAGTTATAATTATTCAGAAAAAAATAAAAAGATGGAGATATTAGAAAAATCAGTTAATATATTAGATTCCTTAAAATAAAAATATATTCATTAATTCCCTAATATAATAATTAGTTGTGGAGATACACCTTCTTTTTCTGTTTGTGAAAATTTAAATTCTAAAATAGATGAGTGTAGGCCTGGAAACTTTATTCTTTATGATGTTATGTAAACAGTTTTAGGAAGTTGTAACGCTACTGATATAGCAATCTGTGTGGGATGTCCAATTGTTTGTATTTATTCTATTTTTTTTGCTAATTTTATTTAAATATTTATTTTTTTATAGCAATATATAAAAATAAATAGGAAGTAGTTGTATATGGAGGAGGAATTCATTTAGCGAAAGATTGTTTAGTTTTAAAAAATAATTAAAAAATATATGGTTATGTATGTAGATTTTAAGATAATAATAAATGGAGTATAGTTAATGATTCATATGTGAAGTCTTTATATTAAGACCATGGAATTTTATATTTTAAAAACAAAGAAGATCTTTATAATATTAATATAGGGGATATTATTGGAATTTTACCGATACATAGTTGTATGACAATAGGAGTAACAAAAAAGCTTTTAACAACTTGTGGATAAATTTTTTATACTATCTTAAATGAAAATGAGTAGTACCCAAGATTGAAATGAATAAAATTAATAGATATGAATTTTTTATGATATTTTTTTTATTTAAATTTATATTTATATTAGTGACTTTTTTATTTTTTGGATTTAATTTTGAATTTTTATTTTTTAGTATTAATTTATTTATTTTTTAAGTTTTAATTTTATATATTTAAAAACTTTTTTTTTTTTTGGTTTGGCTTTTTATAAAATGTTATTTTTAGATATTTTTTAATTTAAAATCTAAGTAATTTTTGTCAAAAAATTATTTATGATTTAATAATAATATATTAAGTTTATATTATTTTTATTAATATTTTTTTTTGATTTTTTTAAAACTTAATTATATTTGTACACTATATTTTAAATTTCAAAAAAATATATTAATTCCTTTTATTATAATAATTAATTTTTAAATTTAAAAAAAAAAATTAAAAAATTTATATAATAGTCAAAAATAAGCATTTTTAACTTATTAAATATTTAAATTGTAAAAAACTTAAAAATTGAAAATCAATGTATATAATTCTTATAAATAAAATAAATATTTAATTCAATTTTTTTATAACTTTAGTTATTTTTAATAAATAAATATTCAATAAATAAAGATTTCATATGCCAAAAAAATAAAAAAATATTCATTTTTAAAAAATTATTATATTTTGTATGATTATTTTTACATTATTAACTATATTTTGTTTATAAAAATAAAAAATATTAATTTCTTATATTTTCTGTTTATTATTGATGTATGTATATTATACGAAATTATCTATTTCAAAATTTAATTAAAAAATTATAAATTTGCTTAAATTATAAAAATGAGATACATTTTTATTTTACATGTTAAAACAAAGTTAGATGTATCTTATTGTTTCTTTAAAAAACAAATATTTATATAATGATCAACTATAATAATATTTATAAAAAATTAAATAAATAAAAAAAAACATATTTATTATATAAAAATATTAAAAATATGGATTTTTTTAATAATAATTCATAAATTTACTCAATTGAGGAAATCGAAATTTTAAAATAAATACTAGAAGATTAACACTATTGCTTTATGAAATATCATATATATAAGGAATAAAATAAGGATTATCCTTTGAAATTTTAATGTAAATAATAAAAATGTAGATATAAAATTTTCGTTAGAAAAATAAATAACATTTATGAATATTATACCTAACCTTAAAATAATTAATAGCATGTATTATAAAAAGATGATTATTTTTGGAAAAAGTTTATAAAAAATTATGAATAGAAATTTAAATAATTTATATACAAAAACTACTGGGATGAAAATTAATAATAATTAAATAAAACTTTCTAAAAATTATCACCTTTGTAAATTTCAAGGAAATACTAAGAAAAAGAAGGATAAAATCAATTTAATTAAATGGAATTTGTAAATAAAAAATATAAACTAAAAAAAAAGATTGATAATATAGTGAATTCTATTAAAAAAAAGAGTGGATTAAAATAATAAAAAATTCCAATTTTAAGTCTTAATTATCCTTAAAGTATTTAAAATCTTTAAAGCGATTCTTTTTCTATAGAAAATATGCATACTTGTGAAAATAGTTAATATTTAAATTAATCATAAAAATAAAGCGAATAGTATTATTATGAAAATTAAATAATGTCACTAGAATAAAATATTTCTAATGTAAATGTTTAGGAATATAATATAAATGAATAAAAAAATAACCAATAATTAAAAATTAAAAAAATAAAAAAATAAATAGAAGTATACAAATTAGAAAATATTAATTATGATCTAAAAAAAAAAATTAAGAATAATAATAAGTAAATAATATAATAGAATAATAATAATAATAATAATAATAATTTTTACAATAATTATTATTATAATAATAATAAGAATAATTAATGTTAATAAAATATTTTTATCAATAATAATTATTTAGTTTAAGAAATTTAAATGTTTACTTAAAATACTAGCACACTAAAGATATTTAATAATAATTAAAATTTTACAGGCATAAATATTTTAAATTTTAATAATAAATAGAATTTTTAAAATGACTTTTTTCGACCTGAATAAGAAATTTAATAAAATATTTTTTAAAAAAATTCAGAATGGTTTAGTTGATGATAATATTTCCCTACTTTAATATTTATAAAAGATGAATAATTATATCGTTAAATTTTTTTTTTTATTTTTAGGAAAATCCATATTATAATTATTTATATTATATTTGTTTTTATTGTCTTATTATTTATATGTGTATATTTAATATTTATTTTAATTTTGTAATTTAATTTATTTAAGTCATATATATCTTATAGATATATTTTTTAATATAATATATATATATTTAATTTATTTTTATTTTTTAAATAAAAAATATCTTTTATTATTTTTTTAGTTTTTTTATAATTTTTTTCTTCTTTTATTTATATATTAATTTAAAATAATAATTATAATTTAATAATAATAAAAAAAATTGATTTTTATATTTTATAAATATTTTTTTTTTTACCAAAAAATTAATAATATATAAATTTTTATATTGATATAAATTAATAAATAAATATAAATATTTACATATAAAATTTTTTTGATGATTTTTTATTTTTATGTAATTTTTATTATATGATTAATCAATAAAATAATTGAAAGTTATGAATAACAGCCTATTTTTTATTTAATTGAATTTTTAAAAACATTACTTAATAAATAAAAAATATTAAGACAATTTATATAAATAATAAATATTTTTTTTATCTCTTTAAAAAAAGATAAATTATTTTTAATAAAAGATTAGAAATCTCGATTAAAAAAATAAAATAAATAAAAACAATAAAATATATAATATTTTAATATATAATAAATCTTAATATTTTTCATAAACTTAATTATATGGATAATAAACTATCTCCTTATTAGCTTAGTATTATTATTATAAAAAAGAAAAAGATATAAATATATTTATATAATAAAATAAAAAGTACATAAATATCCTCCAAGTCCATCAACGGAAAGAGCTCATCCTTTATGTATAGACATTCATATCCCTACAAATCGCATATTATATTGTACATGTAATATAATAGTAATTAGAGACTTATAAAATCCCACAAAACATGTTCGTGTATTTTCCGAACATAAGTCAATTACTAAAGCTGCTAGATTTTCTCCAAACGGTAGATTAGTATGTTCTGGAGGTATTATTATAAATTTTAAAAAGAAATAATAAAATTAAAAATAATAGATAAGAATGGAAATGTTATTGTATGGAGTTGTGAAGGGGAAAACTTTATAATAAAAAAAAATGGGATTATACTTTATTAAATGGAACAATAAGAGATATTAGTTGGACAGGAGATAGTGAAAGAATAGCAGTAGTAGGTGAAGGATAGAAAATATTTGGAAAAGTATTTGCAGCAGACACTGGAAACTCGTTAGGTGAAATAACTGGTGTAGCAAAAAATTTACTTGCAGTTTCTTTAAAACCTAATAGGCCTTTTAAATTGGCTGTTGGAGGTGAAGAATTTTCTGTTTAATTATTTGAAGGACCTCCTTTTAAATTTATGAAATCATAAAAAGTAAAAAAAATAAATTAATTTTTATCAAAAAATAAAAAAAATAAGTTTCATACTAATTTCATTAATTCTATTAAATATGCACCTTCAGGAGATAAATTAATGACAGTATCTACTGATAAAAAAATTATATTCTATGATGGAAAAACTGGAGAGCATATTAAAGAATTTAGTGAGAAAGAAGGAGGTCATTAAGGAGGGATTTATTCTTGTGATTGGTTTGAAAACTCGAATAATTTCGTAACTTGTTCAGGCGATAAAACTGTTAAAATTTGGGATTTTTAAGAAGGAAATATTGTTAAAACATTATTACCATCTTAAAATTTATAAATAGAGCATTAATAAGTAAAATAATATAATTAAAATATAATAAAATAATTAAGGTTGGTGTATGTATATGCAAAGATGATATATATTCAGTAAGTTTAAATGGAGAATTAAATGTTTGGAAAAACGTAAGTACTATTGATGATAAAAGTATTCCTAATGAAATACATTATGGGCATTAAAATAAAGTTAATTATTTAATTTTAATTAAAAAAAATGGATTTTTAGTTTCCTCTGATGTAGATGGAAAAATAAGTAAAAAATTGATATTAATATATATAATTTATTTATTATAATAAGTTTTTTGGGATTAAAATAATAAAAGTCATATATGTGAAGGAAAAAAACATGAATCTGAAATAGTTAAAATAAGTTTAAGTAAAAGTGAAAAATACATATATACTTTTTGTAATTTATAAAAACTTAATTTGATACATATTGACACATTAAAATACGGGTTATATAATATATAAATAAATAAATAAATAAATAATATATATATATATATATATATTATTTATATATGTATCTATATTTTAATTCTATATATATATCATATTAATAAATAATAATTTATATATTTTTTACATATTTATTTTTTATTATAATATAGCGAACCAAAATAAGTAGAAGGAAAATCATTAGATATCTAAGCAAGTAAAATAGACGATGACATTGTTTATCTTCTTTAAGAAAATTAAATTTTAATCTACAATAATTTTGAAAAAATTAATAGTATTTAATTTTAAAATTAAAATACTAATGCTTTTGATATAAATTATTAAGATAATATGTTTGCTGTTGGAAATAGTGTATCTAAATAATAAATTTTTATTTTTAAAAATACATAATTATATATTTATATGTATTAAATTTTAAAAAATATTAAAAGATTGGAAAAGTTATATTATTTAATGAAAAAGGTGTAATTGAAGGAGTTTTAGAACATTATGGTTCTAAAATAACTAGTATTTAATTTTCTCATAATAATAAGTACTTATTATGTGGTGATTCTTAATATAAAATAAGACTTTGGGATTTATAAAATTAAAAAGTAAAATTAAATTTAATTATGTTTTTTATAAAAAAATTAGTCTTTAACAGAAAACTTAGTATTTCATACTGCTATGATATTTAGTTTAAAATTTAGCGAAAATGATAATTTCTTTATAAGTAGTTCTTTAGATAATAGAGCTATAGTTTGGAATACAAATTCATTTGAAAAAATATTAGATCTCGAATTTATTCATAAAGGAGGTATAAATTGCGCTATTTTTGGTTTAGATAAAAAAAGTATATACACTTGTGGAGGTGATGGATTAATTAATGCATTTATTTCAGAATAAAATTTATTTGATTGAAATAAAATAATATAAATATATAAAAAAATAAGACCAAACAGAATTTATATAATTATATTTATATATATATATATATATATATTTATTATATTTATTTATTTTTAATTAAATAATATAAATTATGATTAATTTAATTATAATTCTCTAAAATAAAAATATTTTTTTATATATATATTTTTTTTAAGTTCATATTTTCTTTATTATAAATGTTTATTTATGATTTATTTATTTTTAAAATTTTTATTAAACTTTTTAAAGTATATTTTTTAATATCAAAATTTGTTACTCTATAAATTTATAATATATTTATTAATTTAAATTAACTTTTTTATTAATATCTTTATTTTTTATTTTTTATATTAAGTATTATATAATATTTAATAATATAATAATTCATTTTAAGTTATTTATTTAATAAGTTTAATGATTATATAAATCAAATAATAATATATTGAATTAAGTATTTTTATAAATAAATATTTATTTTTAACCAAATACAAATTTAATTTTACAATATTTTTATTTATTACTTACATTTTGATTTCTTATATTATTATATATATAAATATATATATATATATATATTTATATATAAATATATATATTTATATATATATAATATATATATATATTTTTATATTTATATTTATTTTAATTTTAATATTTTTAATATATATTATTATCATGATATATATATTTATGTTATTTATATTTATTTCATTTAAACTTTCTAAATGGTTTTAATCCTGGTCCATAAGTATGAGCTCTATTATAAGTATCAGCACACATTCCTTTATTTCTATTGAAAGCATTTCTACTATTTTTATAATATTATTAATACTCTGGATTAAAGTTTGGCGCAAAAAGTCTTCCATAATCATATATTGATCCAATTTATTTAGTCATATTGCACACTTTTTCATCTTTATGTCTCAAATCATGAATAGTTAAAGGGTTTGGAATTTCACTGGAAGAAATGAAATTAAAAGGAACCGAAGAAGAATTAACGAGATTATTTTTTTAATAATTTTTCTCATAATCACATACATTTTAAATTTATTTATTTTTATTGTTATTAAAGTCTATATTATATTCGAAATCGACCTTGTTTTTGGGATAAGGATAATCTTAACATTCTCCTAATTTTCTAATTTTTTCCTTTTTTGCTAATTTTTATTGTTAATTAGTACATGTAATTATATTAAAATCTCGAAATTCCATTCTGGTTTTTATTGGAATATTCTATTCGTTTTTTTAAATGTTTGCTTCTAAATTATAATTATTATTCATTTAATATTTTTTTTAATCTCCTAAAGATATTATATTAAAATCTCTTTATTCCATCTAAAGCTTCAAATTTTCTTTACTTTTTATGCGTATTTAAGGAAGTGTGTGTTTACTGCGATGTAATGAATCATATTTGCTATTTTACCATGTTATTATGTTAATGTTATTTTATGACATCTTTGATTTTATGTCTATTGGGGCTTTATTTTCTTATTTTATACGATAGCTTATACGGGGTTCTTGCTTTTTTTCTCCGATTTAACAAATCATTTGTTTGTGCTTTTTTTATTTTAATTATTTTTTTTTCTTTATTTTTTATTTATTTATTTTTTTAAGTTATTTTTTTTTTTTAATAAATATTTTATTAATATTAATTAATATTAATAAATTTTTATGTTTTTGTTTTATTATTATTATTTTAACTAGTAATATAATAAAAAAATTATTATTATATTTTATTTTTTTAAAAAATAATCTAGATAAATAATAAATAAATAAATAGAACATTTTTTTAAACAATATTAACAATATTTAAACTAAATAACTAAAATTGAATTTATATATTTTGACATATATATAAGTTTCATAATTATGCTTAGAAAAAAAATTCAATAGAAATAAAAATTTCTATATAAATATGAAAATAATATTTTATTTTTAGAATTACATATAAATAAAGAAACAAATTATTTAAGAAAAAGAAGACAGGCGATAAAATTTTAATGAAAAAAAAATATCAAAATAAAAATTTTTAAATATAAAATATAACATTTTAATTTAAATTATTAACCTGATTCAAAAAAGAAAATATTTTATTTAAATAATGTAAAAATAATAATGTTTTAAAACATATTATAAAATATTATGGATAAGAAAAATTTTAAAAATAAAAAAAAAGTTAAATTAAAAAATAAAAATTGTTTTAAAGTAAATTAAATGTAATGATAAAAAATTAAAAATATTTTTTAAAATGAAATAAAAGATAAATAATAAAATTAAATCATAATAAATACGAGAGGTAAAAAATAATAATTTTTGTTTATAAAAAAATAAGAAAAAAGCATGCAAGGTGAAAAATAATAGTTCAAATAATTAAAAATTCCTTTAAATTATCAAAACTAATTAAAATTAAAAAAAAAAAAATCAAAAATATAAATTTAATATAATTTTATTAAAAAAAACTAATTAATAATTTTTTTTCTAAAATATAAAATAATATTCAATAATGTATATATAAATTAAAATCTATAATTAATAGTACATTATATATATATATATATATATATATATATATATATATATATTAATTTTTATATTTATTAATATACATTTTTAAATATTTATTTATATTTAATATAATTTTTTAAATTATTAATTTATGTCTTCTTAAAATAATAATAACAACAATTTTAAAGAATAACCTATAATTACAATAGGTTCTATAATATCTTTATCTTATTTTAATGATAATAATGCATTTATTTATGCTGACGGTCATGTTAAAAGTAATTTAATACTGAAGAATTTTACTAGTTTAATAAATAAAAAAACGAAAAACTTAGAATAAAAAAATTAGAATTCGTCTGTTAAATAATTAGTATTTTATATAAAATTTAAAATTTCGATCAAGATTTTTTTTTTTTGAAAAAGTATGAAAAATTTTCAGGATGCTTATTTTAAATTTTTCCGAAATTATAAAATAGGGCAAAAGAAGAAATATTATAAAATTTAAAAAAAACAAGAAAAAATAATTAGTTTTAAGGTTAAAATAATTAATTAATTGATCAAATTTTAGAGAATAGTCAAAAAGAAGTTTCCGAATAAGAATAATAATAAAAAGAGTAAATTTAAAAATACTAGAATTAACTCCTCAACGAATTTAAAGGAAATTATGAAACATTCATAAAACATAAAAATAATAGAATCACATATAATTAAACTATTCAATTACTGCATCTGAATTCTTCTAAATTTTTAGCTTGTCATAATACTGAAGCTTAATATGAATAAGGTAATTTTAAAATAAGTTTAGAAGATTATACATCTGAAAATACTCTTTTTAGAATTGTCCCAGCTTTTTAATATTAAAAGGATGGAGATTTAGTAATTATATATGTATACATAATATATTTTTTTTATTAAAGACTATATATGCTAATGAAATTGTTCTTATTGAAAAATCAAATTCATTTTAAACTAAAAAAACATATTTACATGCTTCTGAGGAAATAATGAAAGCATCATAAGTATAAAATTTAGAAAATGCTAATGAACAAAAATGTTTAAAATATAAATATTTAGATTTCCATAAAGTAAATTTAAAAAAAACAAACAAAGCAAAACAAAACAAAACAAAACAAAATTAATAAAAAAAAGGCAACATGGCATGTTAATAGTGGAAAATCATAAACTTAATTATAATTTTAATATACATAATAGCAATAAATAATAAAAAGAGAAGTAAATGGTTCATAAGAAAATGAGCCAACTAAATGGAAACTAAACCTATTTACCCATTACGCATAAAACCAACATACATAAATACGATGTGGAAATGTAATTTGGCTACACCATTCAGAGTCTAATGCTTCTTTGGGAGCTCTGAGGACTTATTAAAATAGAAATAGTTGGTAGGATTTATATGAGAGGAACGGAGTGGAAGTTAGTGCTATTAGATAGCAGAATGTGTCTAGTATTTTTTAAGAATATGAGGGTAATACGTGTGGAATGTGGATTGTTGAAAAAAAAGATTTCCGAAGTGGAGGTAATGTTTAATATAAAAAATAATATACACTAAGGCATTTGTCAAGTGGTTTATATTTAAGTGTAGGGAATAAAAGTAATACAGGATATGATTTTTAATAAAATTAAAATTTTTAAATGAAATTAACTAAAATTCCTGATGATAGTAGCATATTTGAATTTCATTCACTAGATGTAAATAATTAATAGCAAAATAAAGGTATTAGAAGTGATTCTTTTGTACTTTTAAAGCATTTTTAGAGTTAAACATGGATTGATTTAAATTAGAATTAAAAAATTAATGAAGAAAATAATTATAGTAATAATTTAAATTAAAATAATGAAAAATAATAGATTATATTGAATTAAGAAAGAAGAGAAAATTAAGTATTTAAAATTTTACAAGCAAATTAAAATGATGTTTGGGAATTAAATTTCGTAATTTCTGCAAGTAAAATTATTTGTAAATTAATAAAAGAATTAGAAATTAATTCAGATAAAAAAAAAAAATTAACTAAAAAAATTAAAGAAACAATTAAAATTGTCGATGAGTTGAATGAGTTTATGAATAATAAAATAAACAATTCAAATTAAGATTAAAAATATGGTAATATAAATTAGTTTAGATAAAAGTTATTTAGAGAATAGTATTATATAGATATTTTAGTGCATCTATTAGAAATTATATTTGATAAATAAGATGATATAATAAAGGCTAGTAATTTAAATAATGAAATAAATAAATAAATTAATAATGAAAATAATTAAAAATAATATATTATATTTAATAATGATGAAAATAATAATTAAAGTAATAATAGTAATAATAATAATAATAATAATAATAATAATAATATTTATAATATTAATAATAATAAAAATAATTGCTAAGATGAAGAAGCAATTATTTAATATTAATAAAGAATATTTTAAAATGGAAAAGATAATACTGAATGCGATAATTTAAATTTTTTAAAACTTAAAAAAAATTATGTAAAAGTATTTATAAATTAATTATTTCATTATGTAAAAATAACTTTGAAAATGAAATATATACATTTGATTTAATACCGAAATTTGTAAATCATTGTAAATATATACCAGAAGCTATTGATTGTATTATCGAAATAATTAAATACAATTAAATATTACTTTATAAGGTAAATTTAATAGAAGATAAAGGGAAATAATAAATATATTAAAAATAATAATAATAATAATAATATTAAAAATAATAATAATAATAATAATAATAATAATAATTTTATTTAATTAAGTTTTTTGTAGATTTGATTTTTGATGAAAAAGCGTATTTGAAGGCTAATTATTATATGTTTTTGAGTAGTGTTTGTAAATTTTAAAATAAGGGATTATCTTTTAATTAGGAAAATATTTACAAATTATTTAAAGCTTAATGTAATAATGAAAGAATGATTTTTAAGAATAAATATTAGGATGGTATTTATATTAAGAACGATAATTAATAAGTATATCCAATTTTTTTTTATATACATAATTTTTTTATAGATTGACTATATTTGCTAAGAATTATCATTTTTAGCAGATGTTTCTTAAAATAGAAATTTTTTATGGAGAAGTGAACTTATTGATTGCTTTTCTTGTGAATTTCTTCTATAAAATATTTGGAATGAAAATGAATTTTTTAATAATTAAAAATTAAGAAGTTGTTATAATTAACTGGCTATTAGTTTGTATATAGATCACGATCCTTTAAATAGAGTTATTGTTCCTAATTATTGTCGCATTTTTAGTGATGTATATATATATATATACATATATAAAATATTATTAGGTAAATTATAAAAAAGAAATAAGTATTTTTAAAAGTACAGATATGGAATTTTCATTATATTCAAGTTTATTGGATAATTTAATGAATTTTTTTGCTTAAAAATGTGAAAATATTACTTAATAATATTATAAATATAGACTTTTGGAAGAAAATTTTTTTGATAATATTGAAGATAAAGATGAAAACAATAAAGAAAGGGGACTTGATTTGTTAAATTCTGATCTTTTTTTACATTCTACAAATATGCTAAATCTTTTGTTATAATTAAATTTATTTAATATTCTTGGAAAATAAAAATTTTATGCTAATATTATCTAATTTCTTACATAAATAATATGTTATGACAGAATAAATATTTAGTTTTCAAGCACAGCTTATACAAGGTCAATAAAATAATTCGAATAAACTTAAGAATAAAAAAAAGATAAAATTAATTTAAAAAAAATAAAAATTAATTTAAATGATTTTAATATTTTTGATTGTAAATATAAAATTAATAATAAATATATATATAAATATAAATATATATTTATATATTTTTTATATTTTTTTTATATTTTTAATTATTATAAATAGAAATTAATATTTCTGATTAAGATGATGATGATGAAGAAGAAGAAGAATAACAATAGAATTTAAACCTTTCTTAAAAATAGTTAGACGAAAATTTAAATTGTAATAATCCTTTATTGAGAGGTTTTTTGAAGTAAAATAAAAATAAAGAAATTAATTTAAAATTTAATTAGTATAAACAGTTTATTTTCAAAATATTCAATTTAACAAGAAAACGAATTAAATTGTGATATAAAAATCAAACTAGTAATATGTGATATTTTCGAATAATTTTTAAATATGAGACAAGATTATTTAATTGAAAATGTAATGGTATGGTTTAGTGAAACAATTGTATAAACTGATGACAAAGAATTATTAATATAACTTTTCGAAGATGGATTTAGTAAAATATTTCCCAATATATCTAAAACCGGTTTTTAGGATATAGATGATGAATTTAAACCTAAAAACGAAAATATTTTAATGAAAAATCTATTAATAAATAATATTATGAATATTAAAAATAATTTTGTAAATATGACTGGAATAAATAATAATAATAATAATAATAATAATAATAATAATAATAATAAATAAAATCGTTTAAAACCTTTTATTTTTTAGAAATTTTCAAAAACTATATAAGAAGAGTTTCTGAGTATTGATTCTTTCCTCAGTGTGGCTTTTTGTAAAGAAAACTTAGATAATGAAAAAAATAATCCTTCCTATTGTATTTTGCCGTTTTTATTATAAACATTTTTACTCATACATAACCCTGAGTTAGAAAAAAAAGTATTATCAATTATTTTAAGATTGTTTAATTAAAGGTAAGAATTAAAGGATAATTTAAATAAATTGCAAGTTATTTTTGATGAAGATAGGAAAATATTGTTTAATATTTTAAAAGAAGAAGGATATAATTTATCGCATTATATTGAGTAGACGGAAGTCTGGTTTATAAAATTTATTAATAATAAAGTTGATTATGAAAAAATGATTGAAATATAAAAAGTCTAAAAAATCATTAAAAATATTAAAGATGCCTTTTTCTATAATTTATCTTATAGCGGTAACTAAATTATTATTAATCATTATAGTTCTAAAAAAATAATTGATCCTATCAAATAGAAAATTTTTTACTTTCTTAAAACATATGAACCTATTATATCATTTATAAAAGATGGTTATTATTATAATTGATAATAAATTTATTTATTAAATATATATATATATATAAATATATATATATATATATATATATATATATATATATATATAAATATATTATTATATAGGAATTCATCATTTTGATATAATAATGAAAAGCGATGATTAACCTAATGAAAAAAAAAGATTAATTTATGAAATATTTTCAAATGCTTATGAACTATTGATAAATTTTTGCTCATAAAATAATGAAAATCAATTAATTTTAAATGAAAATATTAATTTTTTAATGTCTAATTTATAATATGATATAGGACAAATAAAACTATTATGTGAAATATATTAAAACAATAAAACTCTATTAAAGCATAAATTAGATAAAAAAATTATTGATTAATTAACAAATCTTATAATTACATAAGGCAGATAAGCTCATTTTTTAGAATTTTTTATTACTTTATAAAAATACTAAAATAATGTAAATTATTATTTATATATTAATTATATTTATTAATTTAATAATAAGTATATATTTGATAATCAACTTTTAGTTTTAAATACGTTTTTACCATTAAACAATATGAGTTCTAAAGAATTAAATCTTTTATATGCATAAGAAAATTAATCTTTAAAATAAAAAAACATTATATTTTAACTTGATGATGAGGAATTTGATGAACGAAATATTCCTTTTTTGGAATATTTCTTTGAAAAAAAAACTACTTATAAAGATGAGCCTTTTAAATATCACGCAAAATTAATTAGTATGCTTTTATAGACTACATATATAAAGGTTAAAGGAAATAATGATGAAAGCGAAATTTTAAATAGTAAGGAAAATTATAATATTTCTATTGCAAAATTAAAGACAACTCTTGATTTATAATTTATAAAAGATTGCTTAACGGAAAAAGATGATTTTATATTAAGTAATATTATTTTGGATAAAAGAGAAAAAGGGTTTTCCTATTTAAAACCATTTATTTTATAATTTATTAATTGTGTTTATATTTAAGGAGATAATTCATAAAGTATAAATTTTTTATAATTTTTTTTTTTAAATGTATATTTTATATATAAAGAAGGAGAAAATTAATTATTACTTTAATTAATTGAACTTATATTAAATTTAGAAAATAAAAGATTAAATTAAATTTAATCTTAAAATGATTATCAAATTTAATATTTAGATTATTTATTTAATAATTTACTTGCTTTATTATAAAATTATTTTAATAAATATTTATTTAATTATAATTCGAAATTAGAATCAGATAGAAAAGATTATTATGTAAATAAAAAAAATTAAAATAAATAAAATAATAATAATAAAAAAAAAAGTAATTGAAATAATTTGCTTATGATTTAAATAAAAAATCTAATTTTCTTTTTAATAAAAAATTAAGTTCTTAAAAAATTAGAATTTTAAAAAATTTCATTTCAAATTTTTTAGATTCAAATGAAGTTTTGATATAAAGTATAGAAGAAAAAGAAACAGAATTGATAATTTTATAAAAAGAACAAGACATTAATATTTATGATTATATATTAAAATAAGAAAAAAAAAAAAAGAATTTAATAATAAAAATAAGGATATTGATGATTTTGATAAATAAAAAAAAATATCTTTAAAACAATAAAAAACACAATAAAATTGAGTTTTTCTGATAAATAATCATAATATAATAATAATAGTAATAATAATAGTAATAATAATAATAATAATAATAATAATAATAATAATAATAATAACAATAATAATAATAAACAACTAGATTAACTTGTATTGGAAAATACTTGGAAATAATTTATTGAGGCTTTAAATGATTATTTAGATGTTTAAGAAGAAATTGACAAAGAAAAAAGTGCATTAACATAAGCCATTTTTAATGCTAAAAATTTAATCCCTGAAAAGCTTTTTTCATAAATTATACCAAAACCCGATAAATAAAATTTTTTAAAAAGTTTATTAATTTTCTTTAATATGCAGTTTATGATATATCTAATAAAGTAAAAAATTTAAAAATAATTTCTTTATTTTATTTTAAAATAAAAAATATATATTTATATATATATATATATATATATATATATATATACAATAAAAATATTATTATAAGTTTTATAAAATATTGTTTAAGAACGAATAACATAAAAAGAGAAAATTTAAATGCAAATATTATTAGATTCATTAGGTGCAACACGAATGATATTATTTGTAATATCAGAAAACCATAAAAACTTAGATACAGAAATATTAATTTATTTTTTAAGATTTGCTAATACACTTCTTGAAGGAGGAAATTAATAAGTTCAAAAAACATTATACGAATTTTATACTACGCATTAAAAATCTGAAATAATATTTTAAAAATTTAATTAAATTATTAGAAAATAAATATAATCAATAGAATAGCAGGCTAAGGAGAAAAATAAATTAAGCTAGTTAACTATAAATTCTATTTAAAATAATATTACTATGAATAATTATATTGATATTTAATTATTAGAATATGTTCTTAATTATCTATAATTATCATGCGAAGGACATTATTTAAATTTACAAAATTATGCAAGATAATAAACTAATTCAAGAAATAATTACGATATGATAAATGCTGTAGCTGAATTATTAAAAACATACTATTATGAAGCCAGAAATTAATAAATGTATGAAAGTATAATTAAATGTTTAGATACTCTAAATGAATTTGTATAAGGACCTTGTACATAAAATTAAATTGCTGTTTCAGAGAGTAAATTTTTTGAAATTGCAAATGATATTTTTACACCAAAAAAATAAAAAATTGAAATAAATATTAATTAAACAAATACTTTATTTACTTAATAAAGTACATAGAAAACTAAAGATAAATCGAATTCATATGGAGGAAACAAAAGTTAATAAATATAAATTTATATTTAAAAATAAAAAATATATAAATATATATATATATAAAATTTATATATATATTTATTATTATTATTTTTATTTTATTTTTATATATTTTTTTTATTATTTTTGTTATTATTATTGTTATTATTTTATTTATTATTGTTATTATTGTTATTAATATTTTTAATATTCTATATTATTAATAGATATAAAATTAAAATCCTATTTTGAATTAGAAAAATGGATGATTAATAGAATTTAAAATAAATGTTTGACTCTTATTTTAAGTCTTTTAGAAATGTAAGATATAAATGAAAATAATACTATTATTAAAAAAATTATGAGATATTTACCTTTGTCTCTTTTTGAACCTTAGTTAATAGAAATATATAAATTATATTAATTTGCATATAAAGATGTATATAGTATGGAATGTTTAGAATATTTTTTTAAAGACCCTAAATAAATTAACTAAGAAAATTTAAAAAAATATGAATGTGTTGTTTAAAATGGTTTTTCTATTATTTATTTAATTACTTATTATGTAATTTTTTTTTTTTTTTTTAAATAAATATGTTTATAATTAAATAAAATAAAAGTTATAATATGATGATAAACTCGAAAGCCCATTTGTATAACTTTACAAATAACACAAAAATAAAATTTTAAAAACCGATTAAAATACATTTGAAGGTTTTCTTTTTGGTGAAAATATATTCGGTTAAATAGCTTCTTTTAGTATGAATTTTCTCAAAACAGGACTCAATGCATTTTAACAAATATAATCATTTGCTTTTGACAGATTTAAAGTAGAAGAGGATGAAAGTGTAAAATAATTAAGAGAAGAAGAGGAAAATAAGAAAATATTAAAAAAATCATTTTTCTTTTTTAGTGAAAATACAGCTCATATAGAAGTTGTGAGAAATAATTAATTAGAATAGTAAAAATTAAAAATAAATTGTTAATATTATTAAATAAAAGAGTTTTTTTTATTCTTTTACCATTCACTCATTGTCTTCCTAAAGAAAAAAAAATCGAATTTCATGAAAATGTAGATAGATAAAGTGTAAAAACAAAGGTTAGCTATTTAATGAAATAATGTTAATAATTAATTGAAATTTCAAAGCATGAACATAGATTAAAAATACTTTTTTCTTAATAAAAACTGATTGCTCTTTTTGCAAAGTATTTTTTTATTATTATATATTAATAAAAAATAAAATAAGTTATGTCAATTTGTGGAAATAACTGACTTTTACTTTAACTTTAGTATTAAATATTTTTATATTAATAAGCTTTAATAGTGATTTTGGAGATAGAATAAATAACTATAGATTGATAAGTTTATATAGTGAAACAAGATTAACATAATAATAAACATCAAATATAGTAAAATAAGATATACAAATATAAATATATATATATATATATATATTTATATATATATATATATATATATAAAAAAAAATTCATATTAATTAATATATATTTATGAATAAATATTTATATAAATTTATATTTATATCTTTTTTTTTATTTATTATAAATAAAGTTTGATACTTTAGGTATTTTTATGACTATATGTAGTTGCTTTGTAGTATTATTTTTTTTGTGTAAAAATGTTCCTTTAATAATCAAAAGAGCTTGGATATCTAATTCTAAAAATAAAAAAAAAAAACTATAATAAAGATGACAATTTAATTTTTACTGAAATGTTTTAAAGTTTTATTTATTTTTCTAAAAGAAATCGAAGTTATTTATTACATAGCATATGGTACTTTGGCTGTTTTAGGAACTTTAATTCATCCTTTTTTTTTCACTTTCCATTTAACTGAAATACTAATAAGGTATCCTACATTAAAAAATGTGGTTAAAAGTGTTTATATACCAAGAGTTTAGATATATCTAACTTTTGTTCTTTTTATTATTATGATTTATACTTTTACTATTGTTGCATTTGTTTTCTTTTATGAAGATTTTAAAGGTAATTGTAATGATTTATTGATTTGTTTTATTTATAGTTTTGATTGGACTTTTAAAGTAAATTATTATATATATTTAATTATTTATTTATTTATTTTTGAAAAAAAAAAGGCTAACGGAGGTGTAGGTGGACTTCTTACTTAACTTTCGGAAGATAATACAGTAAATTTTAAAATTGGAAGGCTATTATTTGATAATTTATATAATATTTTACTTGTTATTATTATGGTGGAAATTGTTGCAGGAATCATAGTTGAGGCTTTTGAAGACTTAAGAGAAAACGAATAAAAAAAAAATAGAGATATTAGTGATAAATGCTTTATTTGTGATAATTTAAAGTATTATTTATTTATATTTGATTTTTTAGTATTTAATATAATAAAGGACTGATTTTAATAGAAAATAAGAAAATAAAGGTGGATTTCTTGAACATGTAAGAATCAATCATTATATGTGGAATTATGTTAAATTTGTTGCTTATATTTAATGGAAAGAGCCTACTGAATATACAGGAATTGAAAGTTATGTTTTTGAAAAAATTGAAAATAATGATTTAACATGGTTTTTTTTTAATATACATATATTTAAAAATAAATATTATAAAAAAAATTATGGATATAAATAAAAATTATTTTAAATAAATATAATTATTAAAAAAAATAAGGTTTCCATTAAATAAAGCAAGAGAATTAGATGATAGTAAATATGATATAGATGAAGAACAAATTAAATATATAAATAGAATTAATTAAGATGTATTATTAAGTTATTATATTTTAATTTATATTTTTTTTTATTAAAAATAAAGATTTTATATTCTATTGATGAACTTCGTTTAACGGATAAAAATATTAATAAATTAATATGAAAATATGATAAATTTAAATATGAACTTTTAAATTAAAATATATAAAAAATATTATTGTCTATAAATTTTTATAGTTTTATTAAAATTTATAATTACTTATTGTAACGAAATATTTATATAATATGTATAATAATATTGATATATATATTTTTAATAAAATAAATTTTATTTTTATTAAATACATATATTTTATATTTTTTAAATTAATTTTTTTTTTATATTTATTAAATGTAATATATTTTTTTTTTTAAATTTATTAATTTCTTTATTTAAATAATTTAAGATATTTATATTTAACAATACAAAAGAAAAATACATATATACTCTATATAATTATAACTTAAGTTTTTTCTTCTTTTATAAATTCGTTCGAAATTCCTTATTTTCGATTTTTTTTAAATTATATATAAAACTAAAATTAAAAATGTCTTTTTAAAATTTTATTTTTTGAATTGTGCAAAAGGCCATGATTAAAAAAAATTAAAAGATTTAATTAAAAAAATTGCCATAATGTGTGAGAATTTAAAATATTTATATTTCAAAATATTATTAAATAAAATAAGAAAACAAGAAAAAAAAAAAAATTTCAAAGTAAAAGTTAAAAAAAAAATAATTATAAAAAAGAATTTATATGAGCTTTTTTTTTCCTTTATTAAAAAAAATAAAATAAAAACAATAATAAAATATAAAAAAATGAGAATAATTCTAACAGCAGGAATAATAGGATTAGCCTTATCCTAAACAACAAAAAAAGATACCCAAGCCTTCGTATACAGAGACGACATCGGCGCTTTTTGGGGCATAAAAGGTTACGAAGAAATGGTTACAGAAGTAGGAACTCATCACGGTCACACATATTGGCCCCAATTCTCGTTTTTAGGTACTTATGATTCCGGTTCTGTCCGTAGAGGATTTTAAGTATTTGCTAGGAACTGTGGTAACTGTCATGGTATGATTTATAAGAAATACGATTATTTGTTAGATAAGGCATATGGGTAATTAGAATTATAGTCTATGGTATCTGATTTTTCAATACATCCTGCCCATTAACATTTTAAGCAATATTATTATCAAGAATGGGATGAAAGAGATAGAGTTATTTCAGATCATATTTATCCGCCTTATTTTTCATAAGATTAAGCAAAAAATGCTAATGGAGGTGTCTGGCCTACAGATTTTTCTAAAATAAGATTCAGACCAGGTGGTGTTAATTATATTTACAATATTAGTACAGGTTATTATTTCTAATCACCTCATGGTTTAGATGTTCCTAAAGGAAAACATTTCAATCCTTACTTTGATCATATGATTATTGGTATAAAAAAAATATTATATATTATATTATATTATATTATATATTATATTTTATATATATATATATATATATATAGATATATATATATATATTTACATATATATGTATTTTATATTTATAACTAAATATTTTTATTTATTTTTTATATTTATATATATATACTTATAAATATATATATATAATGTTTATTTTTATTAGGTATGGCTAGATAATTAAGTGACGGAATGATTGATTACGATGATGGTACACCTTCTTCTACTCCTTAAATGGCTTATGATGTTTCCAACTTTATTAATTTTATGTAAAGAAGAACAGGGTATAAACATCCTGATAAAATGGTTAGAAATTATATGTTTTTCACTGCTGGATTACTTTTGATTCCTTTTAAATATTTAAGAACTAAGGCATATTATAGAAATTTACTTGCTGTAAGATGGGAAATGTATGCTGTTAGAGATGGTGCTTATTATAATCATTTTAAATCTGGAGGATTTAATAGTAGAGCTTATTAATTTAGAGGTTCTTATTGGGCATGAAATAATTATTCAAATAAAATAAATAAAATATAGAAAAAAAAAAAAAATTTAAAAATATATATATATATATATTTTTTTATTTTATATTTATTTATATATTTTTTTAATTTACAAAATATAAAATATTTTTTTTCTCTCTAAAAAAAAAAAAAACTCAATAAAAAAAAAATATATAAAAAAAAAATGAAAAAAGAATCTTAAAATGACATAATCGAACATCGTTTAAAAAAATTAACATAAGACATCCAAATCCTTGAGCTAAAGTCACGCATTAATTAACAATAGCAACCTTAAAAATCAATAGACCAACTTCTGCAATTAATAAGCAAAAAGCTCCAAAAACACCACCATGACCCTCAAATAATAGCCAAAAATCATTATATATTATAATAAAAAGGACTAAATGTACCTTTATTAGAACGTTAATTACAAGAATAGCGTTTTACAGCAGAAGAATATTTAAATGAGCGCCAAAACATATAAAAGAGTGTATTTTGGTGTGACATATAATTAAATAAAGATAGCATAGAAGAATACTTATAAAAGAATATTCTTTTTTGTACTTTTAATTAAATCGAAGTAATGCGTTTTAGTTAAAAAATGAAAAATCCATTCTGTTTAAGATTAAGTAAATAAAAGAGCGTAATTTCGTAATTTAATAAATAGAAAAATTTATAAATTATAGAAAATAATATATAATAATAAAATTCTGAGATAATAATGAGCAGTTAATAATAAATTTAGGCTTTAAAATATTTAGAAAACGAAGATTTTGGGAATTTCTGTAAATTAATTTGCCAAAATTCTCAATTGAAAGAAATTTGGAATTGTTTATTTTATATTTTTTCTAATTTTCCATTTATTTAAAAAAACTAAGAAGTTGATGATCATGATTATTTTAAATATATTTTAAATTATATTTATTAATAAAATATATCCTATTTAGAAAATATACCCTAATAAACTCAAAAATATGAAGAAATACTACAATAAAGGAAATATAATATTCAATATATAAACTAAGTACCTTTTTGGTATGAAATGTATTTACTTTTTAGAACTGGAAATTATCAATAAATGCTCAATTTATGTATTTTCCATAAAGAAAATATATAAATAGAAGATTTTATGAATGACTTGAAAGAATACATATAGAATAATTTCCAAAAGATGAACTTCGAGAATAAAATGAGAAAAGATTGGGACATTTTTAGGTATTAAATATACTTAATAATGTCTAAAAATAAAGAATTTGCAGATTTCATATTCGTTAAAGATATAGAGGATTTCCTCTGGTTATATTTGAAGACTTCTGATGTTTTTGTAGAGGAAAATTAAGATGAAAATGAGGATTTTTTCCTCTAAAAATCTTCTAGAAACTCTCTTTTTATTTCCAGATAAGAAATTATAAACTCTTTTGAAGAAAATAATAACTAAAATAATGATTTTTTATTAGATTTATTTGTTCCTTTACTTTTTCTTGATTTTTCTTCTTTTTTATAAAAATTGGAAAAACTTTCTAAAAATTATAAATAAGTCTCCTTTTTTGAAAACCTTATGTTTTAAGCTCTTTTTTAACTTTCAGGGATACTTGAACCTTCTTTTTAATATGAAATCTTATCTTCAGGAGTATTTTCCTATGCTTAAAAATAATAAATTTAATAGAAATAAGCAAACGTTAAAAGTTTCTTTGAAAAAAATTTAATTCTGTTTTCTAGAAATGCCTTTTTTAATCAAAATTAACAGTTTTTAGCACTTTAAGGACTACTTTTGTTGAAAAAAAATAAGAATATAGACTATTTATTGAATGATTTTGCAGATTTTATTGTCTAAGTTCCATAAGGTCATTTACTTTTTGAAGATAATGATGGTTTTTTACTTTTAGGGAGAGACTATATGGACGAAATTAAAAAAATAGGAACGTATTGTGCCCAAAAATATAAAGAAAAGAAAGCCTTTGGAAATTCATTGAGGATTTTAGAAGTTCTTAAACTGTATGAGGAAATGGGAAGGCTTTTAAGAGAAATATTAATCGAAAATAAAAAAGAAAGTCTTACTTTTATATAAAAATTCGTTTAAAAATATTTTTATTTAAATGGAGGATTTAACTAACTCTATTAAAATTAATAAAAAGATGCTAAAGTAGCGAATTTTTTGGTTTGTTTTTACAGTTTTTAAGATAAAGTAGTTTAAAATTAAGATGAATTATTAAAAATATTATAAAATTTAGGACAATAAGGTTTTTTTTTTAACAAAAATAATATTAATTAAGTCTAAGAATTTTTCGATTTATTAATTTCTTTAGAAAATCATTATGGAAATGTTTTTTTTGAATTTTTGAGTTTTATTTTTTAATTAATAGTCAATTTTGGATAGAATTTTTAAAAAATTAATCCTAAATTAGCTGATGTTGTTAAAATTGCGATTAATTTTTTTGATAAAAATCTTTAATTTATTTAAGGTAAAAATGACTTTAGTTTAGTTAAAAATTAAGCTTTTAAATGCCTATAAAATTGAAATTTTTTATTGTTTTTATAAATATATAATACATAAATAATTATATATTTTTGTATTAAATTTATTTTAGTTTTTTTTATTTAATTAATTTCTATTTTATATTTTATTTTTTAATTATATAATTGAACATTTTTATTTTTATTTAAATTATTAAATGAAAATTTTTTTATTTTATTTAAATTATTATATAAATTGGTTTATGATTTAATTTTTTATAAAAGAATTAAAAAAAATATTTTATAATATATAAAATAAACAATAATATTATTTTTAAATATAATTAAATATAGACAATATAATATGTATTAAAGAAATAATCTTCGTAAAATAAATCAAATAATAAAGCCATTTCTAAAAGCTGAATTAGAAGGATTAACAGTATACAGTTTATACAGTAAAAAATTAAAATTTATTTATATAAAACTCATAAAAAAAAGATGTGTCTTAATTGCTAAAACTAGAACTAGACCCATTTATAAGGCTAGATTATTTTAATGCTAAGCTTCCATCAGGATTTCCTGATCATCCTCATCGTGGATTCGAAACTGTAACTTATATCAAAAGTGGAATATTTTTGTATGAAGATTTGTAAGGAAATAAAGTAAGTAATTAACAAAATATATAATAATATTCAATTAAATATAGGCAAACTTAGGTGCTGGAGAACTACAATGGATAATAGCTGGAAAAGGAATAGTTCATGCCGAAATTCCTGCTTCATATACTGAGAATACAGTCGGTTTTTAATTTTGGTTTAATGTAGATTCCAAAAATAAGATGTGTGATCCTTTATATTAACGATTTAGCTCCTAATAAATTCCTTTAGTGGAAAGTAAAGGAGCTCACGTAAAAATACTTACGGGAGAAAGTTTAGGGAAAAAAGGGATTGCTTAAACTAAAAATCAAGCGATTTTTTTAGATGTATCTCTAGACTAAAATGCTCATTTTAATTAATTAATTCCTAAAGAATTTTAAGGAATGGCTTTTGTTTATGAAGGAAGTGCTTTTTTTGGAGAAAACAAAATTAATGTAGAGTTGAATTAAGGGGCATTAATTGAAATTTAAGATTAGGAAATTCTATAAGTTATAGCAGGTGAATAAGGCACGAAGTTTATTCTTTTTGCTGCAAAACCGATTAGGGAAGCAATTTATGGTTAGAGCCCATTTGTCTTAGATTCTTAAAAAAACTTAGATTAGGCTTATGAAGATTATTAATAAGGCAAAAATGGATTTGAAGGAGCTTAAGAATGGAAATCGGAAATTTAATAATTGATTTTAAAAAAATGATATTTATATAAATATAAATATTTTATAATTATATTCTTTTAAATTCATAAGTAATTATTATATATATATATTTTATATATTTATAAACATTTTTTTTTTTTAAATTATTTAATATTTAATAATAATTTAAATAATTTTTTTTTATGAATTAATTTAAACTTTTTAATTAAAAAATAAAATAACTTTATTAAAAATTTAGAAACTTAAAAGAAAAAAATAATATTTAATCTATATTTGTGTTTTCCAAAACAAAAATTCAAATTCCATTTATATATACTGAACAAACAAAATATATATATATAAAAAAAACAAATACAATTCCAAATCGAATTAATATATAATATAACCAATCAATATTTAATATCCAAGAAAAAAAAACTGCACCAACTGTAATTTTTCGAAGCTTTTACATAAATCCACACTTGAAACAGATTTAATAAAGATAATTTAAATAGACTCTTATATATTATATTAAAAAAAAAAAGAAATATAAAATATGAAATTATTTTAATTAGAACATATAATATAAAATGTTTTATAATAAAAAAACTTAATAAAAGATATATATAGTGTTATAATTATGTATCGAAGGAAATTCAGGCTTTTTTGATAGAAAAATAGCGGGTATATATCCGAATTGTGGGAAGATTAATTGTGGAATAAATCATTTAAGTAAAGATATAAGTTTTGTTGGAAAAAAACTAATGTAATTGAGATTTAAAACATAAAAATAAAATATTATATTTAAAAAAGTACTTGCGAAAATTTCAGATAAGCGTGTTTTCGAATATTTTTTAGAAATAAAAAGAATAAAGAATAACATTAACATTCTATATTAGGATGACCTTATTACATTTTAATTTAGTCATTTTTAAGTCAAATATATTGCCCGCAAAAAGCTGATTATATGTGATGCTCTTTTACGAAATTCCTTAAAAATCTTGCAAAATATTATTAGTTAATGTTAGAAATACATGAAAAAAAAAATGTCATGGAAAAAAATATATTTAAAGAATCGCTTTTTAATAAATAAATTTAAAAAGAGATTATATAAAAAGGAAATATAAATTATATAAAAAACAAGAATATTAATCAATATATATAAATATATAAAGTTATGTATATTTTATTAAATAAAAATAAATAAAATAAAAATGGATATTTTTTATAAATATTTTTTTTTAAATTAAAAATATTTAATTTATAATTGAATTCTTCAAATAAAAATAATATTTTATTTTATCATTATTAAATGACTTTTTATTTTTACTCTAAAATTTTGTTAAAAAAATTATATTAAAAAAAAAAAAATTATGAAAAAATATTCTAGATTATGTATTTATAAAAAACTTCGTTGTTAAAATATACATATATATATATATAAATTAATTTTGGTTAAGAAAATCAATCTAAAAGTATTGTTATTTAAACATTTAAAATTGATTCGATTTATAAAATTTACCTTAATTTTTAAAAATTTGTATATAAATAACTTTAAATATCTTTTGTTAAATTAATTTCAAGTATTTAGATAAATTTTATTTTATTTTTTTAAATAAAAAGTAAATAGACATATTAAATATTGAATAAAATTAAATGCTGAATCAAATATTAAAATATTATTTATTTAGCACATATTATAAAATAATAATAATTGAATATGTGGTAATTTTTTATCAAATTTATAGGAATTATAAATCTAAAATATAGCAAGAAATAAAAAATATTTATAACTTAAGATAAAATAATTATTTTTATTTAAAAATAAATAAAATTGGATAATTTTAAACAAAAATTACATATAATAATTATAATTTTTAAAATAATAATTAAAAAATATTATAAATATTTTATATAAATATTTTTATTTAATTTAGTAATAATTATAAATATTATCATATTTAATTAGTTTTTTTATATATATATATATTAATGTTTTTTTTATATATATACATATTTATATATATTCATTTTTATTTTTAAATTATTTTTTATACTAATTTAATCTTTATAATTTATCTCATTATATATTTACAGACATATTATTATATCTTCTATCTTTTTAAATTAATTTTTTTAATTTAATTATTATATCATCTTTTTTTAATTATATTTAGATTAAATGTCAATTATATTATTAGTTGGTGTAAATTAAGTTTTTTCTTAAATAATATTTTATTTTATATTTAAAACATTTGTATTAATACTCAAATGTTAATTTTTTTTTATTTTATTTTTAAACATATCCTTATTAATAGCCTACATATAATTAAATGATTTTAAAAATTTACAATAATAATTTTATCCTTCTTAACTTCCAAAAAGCAAATGAAAAATATATTGTAAATTCTATATGTTAAAAAAATATATATATAAATATATATTTATATATAAATAAAATTATATTTAAATTTATATATAAATTTTATATTTTTTTATTTTTATTTTTTACTTTGTTTTATTCTTTATCATTTATATATAAATATTTTTCAATTAGTCTATTAACTTCAATTTTTTTTAATAATTATTATTTTTATTTAATTCTAAAAACTTAACTACTTATATCTTTACTTATTAACGGTTTTATATTTTCAATGAAAAAATCTTTATAATTTTTAACCTAATTATCCTATTTAACATTTAAATTATCTATATTTATTTCACATTAAGTAAATTCCATTAAATATTATATAGATTATTTATCAAAATATTAAGGAAAAATATTTGGTTGGTATAAATTTTCATTTAATTTAAAAAGTTATTTTATTGTTTATTACAGATTAATATTTGAATAAATTTCAAAATTTTTTATATTTTGTAAATATTATTGTTTTAAAATATCTTTTATAAAAAATGTTTTTTCTTTAAAAAAGTTACTTTATGCTTTTTCTAATTCTAGGCATTCCATATTTATTTATATTTAATCTAATAATTCTTTATAGTTATTAACACTTTCATTCTTTTTTATTTAATATATATATATATATATATATATATATATATATATATATATATATATATATATATATATATTCGTTTATAATTTACTTTATTAAAATCATTAATAATGTATTTGCCTAATAATTCTTTTCTAGTTTCTAATTATTAATAAAGCAAATGTTTTTAATTTTAAATATAAATATCATTTAACTTATGTTAAAGTTAATTTAAAAACTAGTTTAATTCTCTTACTTTATTTTATTTTTGCATAAAAATGTTTTTTAAATCATTAAAACAAATAAATAGCCCATCTTCCATTTATTAATTTATTAAATTTTATTCAATATAACATTTTACCACTTTTTACTATTATTAAAGTTATTTTTAATTATTTGTTTCATAATAAGTATTCAAAATTTGAAAAAATTAATATTCTTAACAAACTTAATCATTAGATTGCTTTTATATTTTAGATTTTTTTATAAAATAACACTAATTTTATTAATCTGTTTATTATTCAAATTATTTGCTTTTTTTAATAAATAAGGTGATTATTATTATTTTTAATAATTAACTTAAGTGTCTTAAAAAATATTCGGTAATTTTAAATTTGATATATTTTAATAATTATTTTAATCTTTTTCTTAATATTATTATTGTTATTGTTATTATTATTATAATGTTTATTATTATTATTAGTTTATTTCAATAGATATACTATTTTTTAATCTGAATTGTTCTCTAATAATTTAATTTTTGGTATTAATTCTTTTTATATTTCTATGTGTTTTTCTTTATTTATAATAATATTTTTTTATGTTTAATATCAAATTCTTCCTCTTCCATAATTATATTTTAACTTTAAATCCGAGTTCTTGGGTTTTTTTATCACACATTTTTAATTTTTATTTATTTTACACTTTTTTAAGTATAAAAAGAGTATAAAGTTTTATTTATATTTTATTTTTAATAAATAATATAAAAAATAAATAATAAAATAAAATAAAAAAATAAAATATTATTTTTTAAATTAAATTTATTATTTTATTAGAGGACAATATATACTTTTTATAATTTTATACATTTAATTTTTATAAATAACTCAAAATATAATGTATTCTCTATTTTATTAAACTTAAATTATTGTTAATTTTTTATAACATTTTTTTTAAAAAAATTAATTTAAATATAATAACAATAAATATCATATTTATTTTTTAAATAAAAATATTTAAAATTACTTTATTAATAATTTAAAAATAAATATGAAAAATAGTAAAATATGTTATTTTTCAAACAAATTTTCTTCTAATAACAATTATAAATACGACACAATAAACAAAAATCAAAATTTACAAAATAATTTTAATATTATAAATTAAAATGAATAAAAACTTTATAATAAATAAAAAAGAGCAATAAGTATGTCAATATATAACAATAACAAATATTTAGATTTTTAATAAAACAATGATTATTTAAATTAAAATATGCCTACATCCAAATTTTTAACTAATTAAAATTCTTTTTAAAATAGCTTTTCTAAAAATATTGATAATACGCATAGTATAGAAATAAGTAATTTAAAAAATGATCTTAATGTATAGATTGGTTAAATTTAAAATGAATAGTTTTAATAAAATAACAGTATAACAACATAATAAGATATCGATTTTAAAATAAATTAATATTAATAATAATTATAATTAAACAATAGTAGATCTAATTAATTTCATAATCTACCTTAAAAACTAGAAGAACAAGAAAAAATAATAGAAAATAGTAACTAAAACATTATATAATTATAATAATCGATATAACTATTGTTAAAAAGAGAATAAATTCTAAATTTAGATAATTTGGAATTGAAAAAAGAAAATGAAACTTTAAATGAGATTATATAATAATAAAAAAATGAAAATAATAAAATTAACAAATAAGTTATAATTAATGTTTATTTATTATTATTAATATTTTTATTATAAAAAAATAGATTTAAACAATTGAAAATAAATATAGTTTGTAATTAGAAAATCAAATAAAACAACTATAAGTAAATTTTCTTTAAATATCAAAAGAAAAAGAAATTTTAGTTTAAGAAAAAGAAAAAATTTTAATTTAAGAAAAAGAAGAAATTTATGAATAAATAGAAGAATTAGGAAATCAAAATAAAAAACAAACAGAATAAATATATTAATTAGAATAAAAAC